GGGGGGCTAGAAAACATGGGTGACAAGCGCATCAGCACGTCCTCTATCACGTTGACAATAAAAGAGTATGATTTTCTGGGTGTCCGTCTTCATGCCTAGTAATTATCATATTCTACCGCGCAACACCACGCATATTTATTGTCTTAATGGCCATATAATTAGCCTGGGTATCGCAATATATAAAATTGGCATATCCAACGTATAGTGGCAATCAATGATATGCGAAGCACGAATGAAATATGTCGCTTTAAAATCAGCACAACGTTATGAGGTGGAGGCAAATAATGCCGCACGTGACTCCTGTATCATATTATGTTTGGGTGTGTCGTTTACCATTGCCATCTGTTCGCGTCAGGTGAAACCAAACTTAGTATATGTGGAGCTAGCGAAACGGCCACGAGCACGCTATGAGTGTGGTATGTTGTCACGTCGTTACATGACACGCGTGTGAGGATTATCATGTTTTCACCAGTCATATACTTCGTCATTCTTTGACGTCACGTAATACCGAATTTGGTATATGTTGAGCTAGAAAGACGACCACGGGCGTATCACGAAGGGCCCAATGTACTCCAATGTAGCGTTGACGCTCGCGCAAGCTGGGCACAGCGACGCTACGTTAGCACAACGCGAGCACTCTATAGCCTGACGCTAGGCGCGACCAGCGTGCGTCGGCGCGGCCTGACGGCAACCGGCACGAAATGCGGCATGCTGCATTTAGCGCTGATACGGTACCCAGACAACACTACGTCAACCTCTTGTCGTGATAGAGGGACGCCGGACGCGCTGAAACGCGCATGCATTAAAGCAACACAGCGCGGCGCGTGCCTGCGAGTATATGGCAGGACCGGCGCCTGGCGGGGCAACGCTGGTGTGACGCGATGAAATGAACGCCAGCGAGCAGACGCACCGCGTCACGTCGAAATGTATTGCCGCCTTGACTTTCGCTTGCGGTCATGTTCTCACATAACACGCATCTCATGATTATCATGTTTGCACCAGTCACATACCATCGTCATCTATTGGCGTCAATACCAGATTTGACATGTCAAGCAAGGGAAACAAACATCCGCGAGCGCGCAATCAGCGTGGCATGTAGTCATGTTGTTACATGGCATACATGTCGAGATTATCATATTTGGATGTGTCATTTACCTATGTTGTCCGTTCGCGTCACGTAATACCAAGTTTGTTACATGTGAAGCTAGCGTAACAGCCGTGAGCACATAATGTAGTCATGTTCTTACATGACGCGCATCTCATATTTATCTTGTTTGCACCAGTATCATATCTTCTTCATTCATTCTCCTTCAGTAACACCAAATTTGGTGCAAGTGAAGCTAGCGAAACGACCACCAGCACATCATGAGAGTGGCATGCAGTCATGTTGTTGCGTGACACGCTTCTCATGATTATCGTGCTTGCACCAGTCTCGTACCTTCGTCAACTATTCACGTACTGTAATACCAAGCTCGGTATATGTGACGCTTGCGAAACGGCCACGAGCGCATCATGAGCGTGGCAGGTAGTCATGTTGTTACACGACACGCATGTCAATATTTTCATGTTAGGATCTGTCGCTTGTGTTCGCCGTGCAATCATGTCACACCAAACCAGTTTTGTAACATGTCTTGTAAACAAAACCACCTCAAGAGCTACAGGACCATGAAATATAAATCATCATATTCATGACATACATGTTATCATTTTCATGTTATGGCTAGTCATGTATGTTCTTCATACGGTCATGTTACAGCGCACCAAGGTTGATATCTATGCCATTATTGAAACGCCCAGGAGAGCTAAAAGTCGTAGGCGGCTAGATAGATAGATAGATAGATAGATAGATAGATAGATAGATAGATAGATAGATAGATAGATAGATAATAGATAGATATATAGATAGATAGATAGATAAATAGATAGATAGATACGCTCAATGTCGCCGAAGTTCGCTAAGAAATGCTTCGTATTTAAAACTGTTGAAAGGTGTGATATATGTGTGCGTGTGTGCCCTCTTTGTGTCTTCGTTTTTAGTGCGCTATTACCATTCTTAACCAAACGATATAGCGGCCTGAAGCAGCCGGTATATCCTGGTGTACGATTCGCATAGTGGCTAGAATAACCAACCTGTAACACTTTTTCAGCGTGTTCAGACAAAGCTGCCGATGGGTAGCAAAGGCGCCCAAGAACACGCGAGCGATGAATCACAGTGTCCATGGGAACTCAAGCTTAATGTTATTATTAAAAACGGCTAAAATGCTTCCCTTATGTCAACAAATCACGCCACAAACCCAATGGACCACGACATAAACCTCGTGTCCATGATAGTCGGCCGATTTGAGCCTCGCAATATGCACAGTTACCGTGCCACTGCGGGATGCAGCCAGATGCCCACGCTATTGATCACTCTGATGGTGAGCCGATCCTACGAAAAAAAAAAGGAAAGAAAATTTGTGCCGAATGCCATGACACGTATGAACGAAACGAGACATTCGCATGCCCCGTTTTAACCCCTCCCCCCTCCCTATGTGTTTTTCAGAGAGAGCACACTCGCTAGACCGAAAGGAGTGATCAGGCGCTTGAAGCCCGTGACAATTTTTTTTGTAATTCCGCTCGCACTTGAAGAATTTAAAAAAAAAGAGTGTAAATCCAGTGGGGAGATAGTAGGCTCTATTAGTGAAGTCATTAGACGACTACTTGGACATGTGTCACCAGTCACTATCAAGTTTCGCGTGATTCATCTTTGGTGCCACATCACTAACGTGGTGTTCTCGGGCTACAAGTTCCGCAACCTCACTGACAAATCAGCGCAGGAAGTAGCCATGTAACGGAACACTCGCAGTGAGAACGGCAACTAAATCAGCTGAGTGACCATTTGTATGTAAGATGCACTTTCGGTTCGACATTCGTGGGTGCATGCACTACGGCCCTGTGCGCACAAGTAGACACCCTTCATCAGAAGTTATTTCTACATACAGAGTCCCTCAAAAGTTAGTGTTAACTAGTTCTAATAAACGTGCAGTGTGGTGCATGCCAAGAACTAAGTTAGGAATTCATTGCTTGCGTAAATGAAATATGCATTTAGATCCCAAAGTGCGTGCCAGATAAATAAGAGAAATCTAGGAAAAACTATTGAAAGGATTCGTATCCTGTCACATTTTGACCTAAGTATATATAGGGGTCTTGACGTGGACGAAGGCAACATTTTGGTGTGTGTAAGATGAAACTGTTTATTTGGCCAATCTTGTGGCCAATAAATGGAATATCAAATGAAATCAATGCACACTGGTACTGATAGCAGCGAACAGAGCGTCGGCCATCGATCAACTGATCTGCGGCAAGGCACGACTGCTTTTAGACGTAAGCAGCGAATCACAGGTGGCCACGTGCTTGTTCGAGGATGAACTGCGCTGTTCGTGTTTGCATGCTCAAGCCGAACAGGTTAGGCTAAAATAATCATGAATGTTCTGAGAAATTGTGACGTGGTTTGCGTATGGCATTATCTGAATGTGCAGTAGAGAGAGGCGACGTAAAACTTATGAAGAAGTGGTCATGTGTGACATTATGTTGTTTGCAAACAGAATAGGGCACACAATTGTGTGTCAACGCATGGTTCATGAGTTACTTAGCCTGGATGTCGCACGCTTCATGTCTTTTTTTTTCAATTTAAGCGTGCCAACTCCCCAACTTGCCTAGCTTACTTTGCTAATTCACTCATTATAAATTACTCATACTTCTTTGCGAAAACACTCTGAAAACAATTAAACGAACACTCGAGGACCACTCGAGTGAACGTGACGGCATCCGAAGTTGTCACACAATGACGTCGAAATTAGTCGTCGACTATCGCCAAGGGTGAGTGGATCCCGAGTGCAGTACAACTGCACGTGAGTTGAAAAAGCTTGAGGAACATAGTGAAATACACCAGAATTGAGAATAAGAATGCAACTTAATTCGCGTCTTTCACACTATGGCCTAATACGTTGAACAGGAAGTCCATTTCAATACTTAAAAACTTAATAGAGTACCAAGTTTGTAGTAAACTCTCGCCTTCTCTGGTAATGGAGGACTTTGCATGCTGCGAATATTGGAGTGACACACTCACACTGCCCTTGCGGCTCGTATAGCTGGCGCTGGTTGTGCACAAGTTCTTTATAATACTAATTAATTGTTCATGTTTAACGGCCGAAAACCACAATATTGTCATGGTATCGTGGCAGGCGAAGGCAACAGTCGGCGTATCCGAGATAAAACTCCTTATTTAGTCGAACTTGTGGCCGGTCAATGAAAGAAGAAACTACAGCAAAAAATGCCCGCTGTACACTGGTGAACGCGAACTGGGAGTTGGCGATCGATAAACTGATTTGCGGTAAGCTGCATCGGCATTTTTACATGCGGCATCGACTGGCGCTTGCGAATGTTGTAGAATAAACCTCACTATTCGCGCAATCTTTACAAAGTGGTCAGAGCAAAGCGGTGTGGCCTCAGCGGAACGTTGCTAGCAGCTTTTGTGCATACAACTCTATTGTAAAAAAAAAACAGAGAGAGAGACGACAAATGCTTTTGTTTCATGATTCTGAGAGACTCCATAGTTCAAGGCCACGGAAATTTACGCCTCCTTGCCTTATTTACGGCGCACTTTAACCGCCTCTGTCGAAAATGCTGGCCGCCGCGGCTGGGAGTTCACCCCGAGACTCCAGTCAACAGTTGAAAACCATGGCTGCCGACAATGATGACAGGTTGCTTGTAGGTTTTTTGTGAAAAAATGCTACGCCGCGATCGACTTCATCATTGTAATGTTCGTTCTTCTATCGACCATCTGGTCACCGAATAACCTTCGTCGGTTGTAATTTACGTATAAGAAAACATGTGCAGCCTTTCCGTTTCGTGCGCTGTATTATGCGGTGGGAGCGTCCGGCTATGAATCAGTGGTATGAATCTGCATCAGCGACGCCTACAGGTGTCGCTGATGCAGATTATTGCTCACGGGCGTGATAGGTGCAACCAGTCAGTGTCCATTCATGAATTTCACCGCTTTGAGCATCGAGTAGCGTGTCACAGTTGAAGCTGCGAAACTCAGCTGTCCTCAAATTCATGCCACTTGCGCGCTGTACCATACATTCAAGGGAGCCACGTCACAAAAGGACCGTTCATCGCTAGTTACTAAAGGTAAGCCTAAGATTTTCAGGTGCAACCAAGATTACCGCTTCATTGTGAAGTATTATCTCAGGAGAGGGGAAAGTGTACTTTTTGTTTTATATCTCTCGTCTTGGGTGAGTAAAAATTGGAGTTTACTCACGTGAAACCGCAGTAATGCACTCCTTTTTGCTCGAAATGCGTTACCCTAACCGACAAAAGGCAAGGTGGGCGTAACAGTGGGGAGGGAATTTTTGTTGTGGAATTAGAACGATATCTACCGCCACCAATGGGCTTATAAAATATTGACTAGAGCGTACATATATCACATGCTGGATTTTGTAAACTAAAAAGTTTAGAAACGACAAAGCCTATACCTGGTTTGCAGTGGCACTTTTTCCCAGCTCAGATTTTATTATCACTTTGTGTATCACCTACAGCTTCAGACCACGGCGGTAATTTTGATTTCATTGAATGGTGCCTGTGGTCTGGCACAGTACAACCTTAAAGATCTGAAAAAGAGAAACGAAGAAGGGGTCATTATAAGTGGGTCACCTGGCTAAACTTGCATGAAGTCCCTCAGCGTGAAGGCGAATGCCACTCGACTTCGGAGCAATTTAAGCTCTCTATTCAGAGTTCTTGTCCATTAAATAATATATATCTGGTATTGTTCAGCGGTAATAGCTTGTTTTATTACGAAGCATGTAGAATAGATGACTTACTCTGCATAAATATTGTGGAAGATAATTAGGTAACAGGCAGATACGCAGAAAGTCATTGCTGTGTTCTTGCCGATTTGGTGTCTCTTTATTACTTGTAACGTAATTGAAGCTGCGTGTTGCATAAAGTTTAACATAATTTGTAGGTGGACGATTGAGGGCACATATAACTAGGTCATTTTTCTGTGCCTATCTGCTACAGCCCTTGCGTTTGCGTCCAATGTGTGTGAAATACTGAATGGCGTAGAAGCCAATCTGTCTACTTTTGTGAATATATTAAAGAACGCCAAGCAGTTATGAAGAACAGTGGATCCACTGCACATGTTTAGACATTTTGCGAAATTCATACTGCATCATTGATGGAAAAGCAGTGCCACATCAACGTTCACAAGGAAGAGGTGCATGTGCACAAACATTTTTTTAGTGGGAAGGCTGTCGCTGCTACATTTGTGGTGGTCGTGCTTGAATGTGATGCACGCCTTAAACATTCGCTTTAACGTGCTTGTGTGACGCTTAACAATAGACTAATTAGCAAGGTTGTAGCCAGTCTCCTTGTGTAAAAGCAACTGAAGACCGAGTTGCTGTTGCAGAACCACTGTGTTCCACTAGATCCTACATAGCTGTGGCTATTTCGCTCAACAAAATAACGAGAGAATGGGTCAAGGGAAGCGCAAACCGACAGGGCGTTGTTTTTGCTAGCTCCAACTGACCAGGCAAGTTCATCAAGGTTGAAGTCCTTACATATTGCCACCACCTTGATTTTTTTTCTTGATTCACTACCTTTTATCTTGACGTTCTTGTCGACTGCCCTTTTTGTCTTAATACTGCACGAATCTGCATTCAATTCTATGAAACCACGACCACTATTTCTTTCAGGCCGGCACATAATGTTGTGCTTGAAAAATCAAACAGCAGCAGCCGTAGCATCCTTTTGATATGAAAAGGAACACTTTCTCCCCATTGTAGTTAGATTATCCTCGCCGTCTTGTAAGAAGCCCCGGTCATTACTTTCTGCGTCAGCTTGTCCACCCTTTCGTCTGTTCAATGCCAGTGATTTGTGAGCCGGCAGATAAGGCTCGCGAGTAGACTTCTTGCCTTTCTTGAGCACAGGGCGTATACTTACCGGGATGTGAACATTTTTTGAAACAAACAGGCCTTTTTGGGCCATATGCGCTATGAATACATGTTTCTATTGATATAATATATAGGGAGATGTTGGCGCACCATTATGGCCCCGGCTATTCCTTAGCCGTTGAGTGAAAGTTGAACACGTATCTGAAGTGAAACATACAAAGCAGTGCATGGAAAATGGAACACTCAGGCACAGATATGCAAAGAGACACTTGTACGCACAGATCACAACATAATGATAAGGGAATGTTCGAAAGTCAAGGAATGAAGTCTCTGATAATGTACCTCGTTAATATTCACTCCACGCAGCACAAAACAGCAGAGCACATGTCTGGTCCTTATGTAGATGTATTTGCTCGTGTGTACGTAATAGTCGACACGTCATTCACTTCACAACACACACATGTTGGGTGTCACATGATACTGCACATAAGTACATGCGTTATACAAATTAAAGTTCGTTATTTCTTAGCACTTGTCAGCAATTCCGCTGTCTTGTAAAAAACGTGTTAATGCTTTTAAAGCGTGCGACTGTAAAACTCCAGTTGGCCACGGGCCCAGAAGTTTCTTCATGCTAAACGGTCTGCGGTCTAATGCCAACAGTTTGAATTTAAGACGGCGTCTCGGCATGTCATGATGTAGGACAGTCTATGAGAAGGTGACATACGTCTTCATCTATAAATCCGCATTCGCATTTGGGAGTTTCAGCTCTGCTAATTCTGTGCAAAAAATGTTTTGTGTATGGGGTGCCTAGCCTCAATCATTGAATTATAGTTTTTATACTTGTTTGTATTACCAGCGTAATTTTGAATTGAATAAGTGGATCGATGTGATATAAATCGCAGCTTTTTGTACTTTGGTCATACCAAGCAGTTTTGCCCATTCTGAAAGTTGTGGTCTTTATAATACATACGCGATTCATTTTTCGATATTGGTAAATAAACAGTAACGTCTATACGATGTGCTTGTCGTGCTGCTTCATCGGCAGCTGTGTTTCGAGGAATGTTGCAATGACCAGGTATCCACTGTAATTTGATCTCATGTTGCGCCTTGTTTGCTTTGGTGAGCTCTTTAGCGTTTTCGTATGTCATACTATCACTTTTAACTGTCGTGTTTGTACTGGAGAGTGATCTGAATGCGGCCTGTGAGTCACTGAAAAGTACCCATTTTCTAGCGTCTGCTGCCGAGTTTATAAACTTTATAGCACACATAATAGCGAAGAGCTCAGCTGTAGTAGATGACGTCATACGACATAATTTAAACGATTCCTTAATAATGAGCTGTCGTATAATAAATGCCGATGTTGAAGACGTGTGATACTTAAGCCATCTGTGTAAATCTGCATGTACCCTGGATACCGCATGTGTATCTGATAAAGCGCTATTTGTTGAGCAGCTTGGATGAACATGTCTCTCTTTCTGATAATGCCATAGACTGAGAATTCAATGCTTGGTATTGCATGCAGCCATTGTGGATAGTCCGTTAAGGAGCTCCAAAATTCATTTCTTGGTAACATATGTACATTACTCTGTTTATCTTTATGAACATTGCTTTTATTCCTTCGTAAAATCTCCAGTGCCAATAGGTGGTCCTTGCGCTGCGTCTGTAACTGAAAACAAATGGCGGCATGTTTCGATTGTCCTCGTGACTGGAAAGGGTGGTTGTCGAGTCTCTGCTATGACAAGGCTGCTGGAAGTCACTCGTAGAACACCTATGCAGACGCGCAGTCCTCTAGCTAATAGTCTTTGAAGTCGCTCCTCTGAAGTGCGGGAAGGCCGTGTAGGACTGTTGCAGAATATGAAACTTTCTGTCGCATTAAAACATTGTGAACAGCGAGCATGATTGATACAGATCCGCTCCATGATGTCCCAGCAATTCTGCGGAGTATATTCACTAGCGTATTCACCTCGTTTTCGAGTTTCTTTATGTGAGGTACCCATGATTGCTGCCTATCAAGTATTACTCCGAGAAACCGATGCTGTGTCACAATAATTAGTGGTTCTCCTTCTAAACTGAGATTGCAGTTCTTTAACTTCTTACGGGTGAAAGGCAACACAGCTGTTTGCGTGCAATAGAATCATTCCTCTTTCTTTTAAAAAGTTGTTCACAATATTTTTGCCGTCTTGCGATGCAATGTGAATTAACTGTATGCCCGTGCCAGATGCCCAAATTCTCACATCATCTGCATATAAGGAGTATTTCAACCTGGAAGGCAGTCTTTGAGATCAATCCCCCATAACACAGTTGAAAAGAAAAGGGCTCAGTACGCTTCCTTGTGGCACTCCCTGTCTGACGTCATGTTCCGCACTTTTTCCTTCGCTCGTCTGAATGAATATTTTGCGAACTGATAAAAATTTAGATACCCTTCGCAAAGACTTGCCGGACAGTCCGAGTTCCAACATACTCAGCAGAACATGATTGTGACTGACTGTGTCAAATGCCCTTTTGATGTCTAAGAACACTGCGGCCGTCGAACTACCACAGGCGCGTTCATGCTCCACATACGTTACTATGTCCTGTATTGCATTCATTGTGCATCTGTTTCCTAAAACCGCTTAAGTAGTTGGAGAATACACCAGTTCTGTTGCACCACCACTGAAGTCGCGCATCAATGATTTTTTCCATTACCTTACTTAGGCAGCTTGTCAGACTGAGTGTGCGGAAGGATTCAAGGTTCAAGGGCGTCTTTGCCGGCTTTAAGATCGAAATGATGCGAGCAAACTTCCAAGACTCTGGTATAATTTTTTGCATCCATAGATTATTGTAAATATCTAAGAGAATAGTAGTGCCTGTAGCCCAAGGCTCTTTAGCATATTGTACGTAATGCCGTCCGGTTCAGAGGCCAATTTTTGACATGATGCTATAGCACAATGCAGCTCCCTTAACGTAAATGCAGGATCAAGTTGAGGATGCTGGGCCCAAAAGCAAGCATTATTTTCTGACTGGCTAACGCGACAGAATTATCAAATAAGGCACATTGTGATGCGGTGGGCCTACTGATAAGTTGACAAAATTCATCTGCTACCAAAACTTCCGCTTTGTTCAAGGCTACAGCAAGAGCACGAAATGGGAAGCTCTGTGATACAGGGCCACTAAATGCTCGAATTACAAGCCAAACTCCTTGAACAGGTGTGTGGGGAGAAAGTGTGTCACAACAATCACGCCAGCGTCGTTTTCGTAGTT